TTAGCAAATTGAAAAGATAAGAGGTTCTTATTTTATATTCTAGCTTGTCAGTATCAGTAATTTGAGTTTCTAATTCGTTCAAAACTATAGACTTAGTATTTTGACTTCACAAACATCTAATTTGAACTAGTGCTGTATTCAACATGCCACGTGACACACAAAATTGATATTTATCTATTGTTTTTTTTTTAATATTTGCTTTCAAATTAAGAAACTGAGTAACATATATATATAGTACTAAAATTTGAATTATAATCTACAATTTGATACCAAACTTATTCATATAAATTCATGAAATTGTCCAATCAAATTTTGAATGAGAGTCAACAAAAGAGATGACATGGCCTTTTACCTGTGACCCATCTCAAAAGGGTTAAAGAAAGGTTAAATGTTCAAAAAAGAGCTATTACAGTTTTACTAGTAAATGAAAAATCTGGTTTTGAGAGAGAATTATTTCTCCCACACTAGGGTAGTTCACACAGTAATTGCTTTCATTTCTTTGAAAGCCCTCTATTGTATTGTATAAAATGACTTAGACCACTGGATGAACTTTTTTGTAATAATCTGAACATATTGCAGTAAATGTAATATTAAATGAATGGGAAGTCATCAGAATAACAGAACCACTTTATTGTGAATTTGTAAATTTTTGTTCATTCCTTATTCAATGCAAGTAAACTTAATTTGAAGCCTTTGAGAAATGAACCATAAATATTAATAAAGAACAAGGCTTAAGTATAGTTTAATGCGTAATGTCAAACTTAGCAGCATAAAAAAACAAAGGTTGTGTCTAAAATATGAAACTATTGTATTGACTTTAGATGAACACTTTATTTTAGAAGTTAATATTTATTTATTTTTTTAGTGAGAAAAACTTATCTCTAAGAACTAAACATAAATTGTAAATGAAAATCATATGCAAGTTATAAAAATTATTGCTTAAGGAAATGAACTTTATTTTATTAAGAATATATATAAAAATGTATAGGCACACCATAACTAAATCTGGGCAGTTAGTGGAATTTGATAATGAATTAATTATCTTGTTCATTAATCAATTACATTCAACTAATTGGTAATTCTTGAGTAAGACTTGGATGGTTGGAATAATCGAACACTAGTTTTGATTGGTTGAATGAGTCATGACATTGATTAAGCTGAACAACCTTGAATTAATCACATAATGAGAAATCATAATGGCATAGCTGAAAGTTAAACGGCAATAATCAGAAACACTAATTTCTGTTAGCTGATTATTTTCTTGAAATTAAGAAATTTATTCATAATTTCAATTAATTTATTATTTTACATAACATGATCAATGTAATCAATATACTCTTAAGTAATTGAGATAATTGCTCAAACTAGAGTTGATGCAGTGTTTTTTCATGACATAAATTCTTAATTTTAAAGGGACAAAAGGGAGCTTATTAGCCCATCAAAGATGTCCCTTTCAGCTCCCAACTATAACCACCCCTTATTATTCATGTATTCATCCAATCTTTTCTTGAACTCAGTTAAATTTTCTGCCTCCACCACCCTGTTTGAAAAGTAATACTGTCTAAACTGCAGATGACTCCTATGCTGCAAAAATTTGAATTTAAGACCCCTTGTCCTATTGTTTTCACTGCTAAACACAAAAAAAAAGTTTGGATTTGTATTATCAATACCTTTAATAATCTTAAACATCGTAATCAAATCCCCTCTGACCCTTCTCCTCTCCAGAGAAAACAAGTTAGAAATTTTAGTTTCTCCTCATAGGACAATCCTACCATCCCAGATATCATCCTAGCTACTCTTCTTTGAACCTTCTGCAACAATTCAATGTCCTTCTTGGGGAAGGGAGCTCAAAACTGTACACAATACTCTAAATGATCTATACAGTGAAACAGTAATATTCCCTGTCTTGTATTCAATATCTCTATAGGTGTTACCCAAAATCCTATTAGCCCTCTTGCTAACTACAATATGCTGTTTAGATGATATAAGTGGTTTTTTTCAATCACAACACCAAGATCATTTTATTCAACCATAGTACTTAATGTATTCCCATTTAAATTGTAACAATAACTTGAATTGTGAAAACCTATATGCATCACCTTACATTTTGGATAGTTAGACATCTGCTATGTATTATTGGCTCAATGCATCAAATGATCTAAATCTCTCTGTACATCTGTAGCATCTCTGATACAGTTAGCCACCCCAAAAATCTTAATATAAATATTAAGAGTCAATATCATTAATATAAATCACAAACAGCAGAGGACCCAGCACAGAGCCCTGAGACACACAGCTTGTAACTGTGATCCAGTCAGATCTAACTCTATTTATTACTACTCTCTGCTTTCTACCCTGCAGCCATTTTTCTATCCAATGTAATAACATTTCCCCCACACCCACAGTAAATACGAAATTCTTTTGTAGCAAGACTTTATGTATTTCTTTTAATTTACTCACACAGTTGAGCCAAAAAATCTAAGTTTGATTTTTTTTTTTATCAAGTTGCCTGCCTATAGTAGGTAGGAGTTCCAGAATTGGTTTTTCACATAAATTACTGTTATACATTGAGTTGCTCAGTATTATTTTATGATGAAGAAATTCAAAGTAGAAACTGTTTTTTAAGCTTAATTAGTTCTAAGTTTTTACTACACTTTGGAAACAAGACAACTGCAATGTTTTCCACAGTCCCATTGAAAAAGTATGGTCATTCACTGGTTATTTGCAAACAAAACTAATTGTTCACAACATGAAATAATATAATTAAAAGAAATAGTAACATTATTCTGAAATGTATCTACTTGATAAATAGTTGTGAAACTATGCTGTTAGTAACAAACATGTCCTCACTTTCAATAGCAATGTGAGTGAGTTTACAATATTCTACTTAGATAGTCAAGACATGGAAATTTTGAGAACTTAGGTGATAAATTATGTTTCCATCAAGAACATGTCATTTGGTTAGTTGAATCACGTTATTTCAACTGTGTTACCATAGCAGGTAAAGTAACACTTACAAAAACAACATGAACACAACAACAAAATATATTAACAGTTTTGTTTATTTCTCAATACAGCAAGATCTACTGCATTTTATAACCTGTTTAAAGTATTTTGATCAGCATAAAATGTCTCAACTTTTTTTTCACTGAAGTTTTCTGAAACCTATATTTAAAACCTGTGCATTTATTAAAGCTTAACAAGTATATGGTACTTCATTTCATTCCTTTTTTTGTCTTTAAACTTTTTAATTTTCATATAACTAAGTAACAAGACATGTTTATCAATATTCATTAAAGTCCAACATACCACATGTGTGCAGCTACTTAAGATGGAGGAGGAAGCATGAAATTTCACTTGTCACAACATCAGGCAAAGTAAATATTCTTGATAATCTTTTCAAGTATTCAATTTTTACTAGAAAATCATGCAAAAATCAGCTAAATTACAAAAAATTATTACTACATAATTTACACTAAAAATTATACTTATACACTCAGGCTAAACAGAGAGAACTGTTTAACTATTGTTACAATTTTCAACAACTTTTACTTGTCTCCGACAACTAGACATGTATTAATGTTGAGCTTTGTTTTGAAGTCTTAATGTAACTAGTACATTTCTTTTTAGGGTAAATCAACCAAATGACTGCAAGTGACTTTCATGTAGGGTAATTTAAGTTTTATTAGGTAAAGACTTAATTAAGCTTCAAGAATTTGTAAATTGTAATTGACAACTTTACATTTTAAAAATATCACCTCAAGTCTGTAACATATCATGAAGCAGTTAGCTCTGTGTGTGTGTTAGGTACATAATTTAGAGGTATGGGTTTTAAGAATTTTAAATTTGTATGTGAATCATTATTTTTAGTTGTTTGCCTGTAATCTTTAACAGTGTTAGTGTTTTTTATTATTATTATTAGAAACCTTATAATCATTAGCTTTGTATAGGTGAGACAAGGTATAAACTTAGATTTTCTGTAGTTGATTGACTACAATTAGCACTGTGACAAAATATATACACCTGGAAAAAAGTTAAGCACCCCCAAATATTTTTCAGGATTGCTTATTGAAAATAAGGTTTAATTTTCATGATGTTGAGCAATGTTCATAATTTCAAACATAATTAAAAGGATGTGAGCGTTCAGGTGTGACATTTAAATCAGGCGCATTTTTTTCCCCACGTACAACTTGCTCCCTTCTTCACGTCCAATATGCACTATTTTCT